GAAGTATTTTTTTGGTTTTGAGGTTGTGATGGGCTGGAGATTGACCCTGGCTTCAGAGCGAGACCACTGAGGTTTACACAGTCCACCTCATACTCCACTGTTAAGAACAAACTGAACCCATCTAAGTGCTACCGGCAACACGCACGGGTCAAACAGTCACCGTGTAACAACCGTCAGCTCAGTCTCAGTAGGCGACACACTTCTCTACCCAGAGAGAGAATGGGAAAAAGCTTGTCTGTACTTTTCACACAATTTAACACTTAAAATCAGACACAAACCTTTAGTTACTTCAGCATGCAAGATGTAACAACACACTCCTCTAGAAACCTTTATGTTCAGTGCTGAGAGCCGGGTCCTACAAGGTTTGTACACCAGGACAAACCAATGTCACCAGTTCAGGCACCTGAATTTCAGGACTATCTATGCTCAGGATAACAAGTATTGTTAACTAAAGGTTCTCCGACAGCTTATTTTGCTTCCCAAATAACACTAATTGCAAACACTAGCTGCAAAACATTGACAGCAAAAACTGTCTTTTTTCTTTTTTTTTTTTAACCAAGCTTTGATCTTGCAGTCCTGACAGAAATAGGAAAGCATTTAACAAAACTACTTTTACTTCAGTGACTAAACTATGCAATATGACACCAAAGCTAAGTAAACATTTTGAATAACTTTGAACATCAGAGCACCTGTTTCGAACAGTTGTTGGTATTTGTTCCTGGGTCGCTCATCATCTGAATTTCTCATTGCACAGACAAGAGGAGACTATTCTTTATGTTCCTATTTTTGAACAAAGCTGTGTGTGCTTTTCCTTGAATTACTGACCGTGGCAGGTAGAGTAAATTCAGTTTTAGAGAACAGTCTTTTTAAACAATCCTTCACTGACACGGTATCAACATTACTAAGAAACTGAAAGTGGGAAATACTCTATCAAAGTCAATGACAGAAAAGTCTACCCGGTGAAGCACCACAAACAAGAACCCTATTGCTCCAGGATTATTTATCATGACTCTGCCAAGCGCTGCCTTTGGCCATGTCAGAGATTTGGTTGGTAACTTTTAACAAAAACCTCTAAGCATCCAACCTAAAGAATTTGGGTTGGATCATGCACAAAACCACAGTGCTAGTGAAAGACAATTCTGTTGCAATGAAAATTAAAATAAGAAATTAACTGTTTTGATAAATCAAGGTTAAAAAAATAGAAAAAAGTCTGAAGCTATTATTCACGCAGAAAGCTGTAACTGCTTCAGCAAATCAGAATGGAGACAAACTAAACTGACAACCTCGGATTAGTTATCACTCTAGTCTAATCCAATTAGGTTTGTTTCCTAATTTTACTCAGATGAAAATTGTAAAACTTTTCCATCAACTCCTGCAAAGGAAACGGCAATAAGAACTGATAACCAGCACCAAAAATAATTAAATTTCCATATAATAAAAGGTTTGGTTTTTCTAACATTAAATCTTGGGGAAAAGTTTTTTTAAAAAAATATTTAAACATTCTAAACTACCTGCTATCCATTGATCAAAAGCCCTTGTATTTTAGTGTGTCACTTCACAATTCAATTTCTTTCCTCATGCCATATTGACCAAAGAGCATAATGAAAAATGGAAATGAACCAATGATCTCCTATGTACAAACTCAAATGTACGTTTTGAGAATGAAGGATTTAAACACCACAGTAACATCTGTCATTTAATCAAAAGCTCAAATGAAACCAGAAGATATTAGTTTGCATTGTGCACCATGAAAAAACATTAAGCTGTATTTCGTTAAATGTAGTTAAGAGGAGTTCTTCAAAGCTATTTATTAATTCCATTTTCTTCACCTTCTTTCAATATCTGAAGGACAGACTAATAGGCTCTTGTCTTTGCTACGCTACTACAAAAGTAGAGAGTGGGAAAGCCGTGGCTTCTCTCATTTGACCGAGATTTTACATTTCACAAATCTCCTCCACGTTTTTTAGATTTTAATATAAATAGCAGGCAGTCAAGAAAACAGTCATGATTTTGTGCTTAAGCACCATACCCAAGCCTTAAGCGTGTATCCTGTTTTTAAGTACTGTACATTGTCTTAACGTAAATGTGTTAGAAAGTTCAACCTTCCCATGTGGAATTCAGGAGAGGGGGGAGGAGGAGGAGGACAATCAAGTCATTCTGTGCAGATGTTACACTAAGTCAATCAGATATCAGGATAAGAGTTCATCATATCTGAATAAAAAGTAACAACTTAAAACCATATGGACCGTAAGAGAAGACGGAGTCCAATACAGCTTCTCTTGAAGCTTTTCTTCAATCTGGTTTTAGTTTTGGAACAAATGGAACAGAACCAGACCAACTCGCCTACAATAAAACACTCACAAAAAACATTATCTGAAGTAATGAAACAGAATATTCTTTGTGACAAACATTTCAGTAACAGATGGAAATTAGTTAATCGAGTGGAAATGAATATAACCCCCCCCAAATTAATTACCGATTAATACTTTATACTGGAACTAGAGCAACCAATGCTACAGTCAGACCTCTGAAGGAACATCTAGAAAAACCTCTCTTCAAGGGAATAAAATTATATATCGGCATCTTTATCTGGGCTGAAAGACAGCATTTGAACTTACTTAGTAAAATTACAACTTAAAAGTATACCTTATTCATGAGGAGAGAATTCATTGAATTAGAATTAAGGAAAGTAAGTTACTCTTTACAGAGACTAAAATAACAGAGAACAGTTGACACTGACTCTCCAAAGACAGGTCAATAATTGAAACTGAACAAAAAAACTTGATGTTTTTATTTCTCATCCATGGTTTACAGGACTGTTATGTAAGGCCTAAGCATGTATGTGACAGCAAGATCCTCACTACATTACCTTCAAAAGATGTAGTCAAAATTTGCAGCCACATTCACAACCAGTCAGCTCATCAACATTTCTAAAACTTGGCAGCAAACTGTTTTGTCCAAGCATGGAGTTAATTTCCACCCTAAGGAAATTTTCAAAATACCATGATAAATTAATATTTGCTAAGTATCAGTGGTACTTCAGAGGGACAATTTAAAAAAAAAAAAAATCTCAGACTTATAACATTTTGATGATTCCTTCCTGCTGCCAGGCAGAATGTCATCTGGTGGATTCAGAAGAGCAACAGCTTACCACAGAACTTGCACAGATGACTAAATGCTTTTGACGGCATAGTGAACTTCAACCCTTCAATTTAAGGAGGAAAGTAGAACCTAGATCCCATATAAACTACAGAAAAGGCTCCAGTATAAAACTATAACTTCCTGCAGGCACACTTTAACAGAAGCAGCCCAATCATCTAAGCGCAATCTGGGCATGCATTGGCATCGCCTACTGGCTCAGGCTTCTCCAAAGACTTAAGTGAAGGCACTTCTTGTTTCTGGATTTACCTAGGTCTTAAATGCCTGTCAAGACAGGAGCACTTCCAGGCAGATGTGAAAGCTCTTTCTCAGAGCTGTAGAAGGCTTCCATGAAAAAACAGCAACTACACACCAAGTGAAACAAAAACCACAGAAACTGAAGGACAAGCATTTACTGGGGTTGGCTTAAACCTTATTTATACATAACATCCACGTTCATTATACTGGCATTTAGTAACTGACTGCACACAGCATAGCAAAACTATTTCTTTACATAAAATGGTATTAATTATATTCAAGCAAAAAAAAAATTTTTTGAGAGTGAGCCCTGGAAAACGAACACAGAATCTAGCTTGCTCATCAAACAGACAGAACACTTCCCCCATCACCTTTTTCCTCCATGCTCTTAACTTGACTTGGGCATACCAATGTCAAAAGCCGTTTGGACTCCACGACTGACCAATCCCTGGATCCCTGAAAAGCCAATTATCTGAATTAGCAACAACTCCTGTCACTATTTTTGAAGCTGGCACGTAACCCTAAGATAGACACTAAATACTCATTTCACATAAGCCAACTTCATCTACACAACCCAAGAGCCAAGAACAGAAAATGCTCATCATTCTTTTCTCTTGCCCTACCGCAACGATTTAAGCTTTTTAAAACTCTTTCTTTAATGATATGTTCCGCAAGGTCCTACTTTAAGAACCACTTATACAACAATGAAAGGAGCACATATTTCTGCGGACAGAAGAAGAGAGTCCCAGGGATGACCATCAGTCATAGCAGGGAAGTCAGAGGCAGCAGCTCTACCCTGGACTTCCTAGAAGCCAAGGCCTCCTCACTCCTACTGGCCACATCACCATCTCATTAGCCCTGTATCCCTTTGGATGCTACCTGCTTCAGCATCTCCTCCTGGCAGGATACTTCCACTCACCAACACCCAGGTCTACTTCCACTCACCAACACCCAGGTCTACTTCCACTCACCAACACCCAGGTCTACTTCCACTCACCAACACCCAGGTCTACTTTCACCCTGCTACCCTACCCAATTTGATAACAATTGTTTGGTTGACAAAATAGAAAGACATCTGTTGCACAAGCTTGCACGAAACCCCAGATGCATCACAGAACATCAGCGGTTTCTTGGTAAGCACTAGCCTAGGCTACCACTAAATTCAGTTAAAGCTTGGGCTCACCTGGGTTACCTCTAAGAACAGACAGTGGTGGACAAGCCTCAAACAAAAGTTCTTTTGCACCCTATCAGCTCAAACTGCAATGAGTGCAACATCTCCTGCTCAAGATGGCGCTTTTCAATGGTGAAGCAATGGCTAACACGTAATACAACTGAACAAACCTAGAAAAAGCCCAAGGATGAAGGTTTGTGCACCCTTTTAACAAATGAAGCCATCCACCCAAGAGCACTGTAGCTGTTGATGGAACATCTGGTGAGGTCATGAGAATACCTGGTGAGGTCATCAGAATATCTGGTGAGGTCACCAGAATAACGCAAACCATCTAAAAACCCTTCCCCTCCACCTCTCAGCAGGTTAATTGTGCAGACACTGGACTTATTAGGATTAAACAGAGATACAGAAATACCTTGTCCCCAATATCCTTTTACCTTGTCCTGAGGGCCTGCCAAGCTGCATCAATGTCTGCGTACAGGTTTTTCTCAGAGGGCTTGCCGGTGCTCACCCCGTAGCCAGAGTAGTCATAGGAGAAGACGTTGCAGTTGATGCGGGAGCCAAGGCCAATGTAGAAGCTGCACATCTGGCCCAGGTCCACAGCATTACCGTGCGAGAAGAGCAGTGTGTACCGGCCAGTGGGGGCACAACGTACGAACATGCAGCCCAGCCTGTTATCTCGAGCCGTGCGGGAGAAGAACACTTCCACGGCATCCAGTTCCCGCTGCGAATACTGCCAGTCCGCCCGCTCGCTCAAGTGCAGGCTGCAGGTGCCTGATCCCGTTGGGGTCCCCGCC